CCCCCCTACTCCCTTCACATGTCCTAATACATTTACTATTATCAGAAACAATTTTGTCTCCCCTCCCCCTCCGGACGGTAGAAATTTCCTCTGTGGAGGGAGTGTGGATCTTTTATGGAACGACCCATTTTGAACAAAGGCCCTTCTTCAGGTAATCTGTGATTAACTTCCCACTGAAGGTCCTTTGTTCGAAATGTCGATATTCTCCTAGTATTTTTCAGGTAGTTGTATCCCTATCAAACCGCAGCATTCTCATTTTTTACCAAGGGTGCGACTACCGTACAAAATGTTTGTAGTTCGCTATAACTACAGCTACTTCAAAAATATGTAGTATGCAGCTACAACTACTGAGCTACTTTTGAACAAAGGTAGTTCGCTACTGACTACAGCTACTGCTTAAAAAATGTAGCGATGCTATATTTTTTAGTTTTACTGTATTTGGAGCATCTACTAACTCAGGCTGAAATGTAACATATAACAAATCGACTTACGAATAGGAACAGTAGACACAATTTCAAAGCAACATTTTTGTAAGTACTACAGTGTTCAAGAGTGCAAATTGAATTTGTATCATCAGCAAAAATTCTAAATAATTTTTTTTTGAACAATTAGGTAAATCGTTGATATATAACAGGAAGAGTAGTGGTCCTAAATTAGATCCCTGTGGGACACCACAAGTCATTGTTTTCATACTAGATTTTGTTTCACCAATTTTAACGTATTGTTTGCGATAAGATATGTAACTTGAAAACCATTTATTCGCCACTCCACGAAGTCCATAGGAATGTATTTTATTCAGTATGATCTCGTGATTAATGGTATCAAAGCTTTCGAGAAATCTAGAAAGATTGCGCAAGTTATTTTGTTTTCACCTATTGCTGTTTTCAAGTTTTCAATAGTTTCGAGAATTGCGCGTTTAGCTACCAAACGTATTTTTATATGACGTATTGAGTCTATAGTCTGTTTGACCAGTTCTTTTATATATGTGTTTTATTTTCTCAGGTTTCAATTTTACGATTGTCACATAGATTGAGTTAATTAACGACAAAACCTAGCAAAACAACCTCCTGTACTGGTATGAATGTTGACTTGTCTGGATGGAGTACAAGCCCAACATTGTCAAACACTTTTACTATTTGTACTACATTAGCAATACATTCCTTGTATGTGGTGTCTCATTAATTACAAAAGCTGTATATTGATACAGTTTCCCTTTATAAGTAAAGCGCCAATATTTCTGTTCAGGGGTGTAGGAACCGGGCGCCCAGGGGGGGGGGGGGCAGGTCCAAACGGCACTCATTTGAAAACTTGAATGTATGTTATTTTCCCGAAAATTTTTTTCATTTCGATAAATCCGGAAAATTTTTTGGTATATCCGGAACATTTTTTTCATATTTAGGAAAAAAATGTGATATATCCAGAAAAAATTTTTTGGTACGTCCGGAAAAACTTTTTGAGACCTCCTCCTCCCACCTCTGCTGCCAACACATTTCCGGGAAATATTTTTAGATGCCCTTTTTTATTTGGAAAGTGCCCCTCAAAGCCTGCCCCCCAACTTTTAGAAGCTTCCTACGCCCCTGTTTCTGTTAGGCATATGTGTCTCTGTTAGGCATATGTGTTAAGAAGTTATTCACAACCTTGCTTGTTGCTCTTAAGTCCTGTAAGACTTTAGAGAGGTCATCACCAAAAAGTGATTTCTTTATTTTATTGTTACGAGAGCATGCTGGTTTGAATTTATTTGTCAGACTTGGTCGGATCTGGTCTCTTCCTTTGAACGAAAGTTCTTTATGAACATGCCCAATAAGAGCAATGCAGTCTATCAAGTTAGAAATAACAGATTTGTAATCAGGAATTGATCGTTTCTCTCGACAGTCTAAAAGTGTGTTCAATGAGATAATTACAGCATTTGACACTCTGAGTAAGCGGTCTTGTAAGATTGACATTTTTATGTCTCACTGCTTAGTTATTGGGTTTAATTTTCCCTATATCTCAGGGTTAACACGTGGCTCATAAAGTGCCTCACAATTTTGGGGGGTTTTGTACTTTTCAAAAAGTTGTTTCCTTTTTTCTAGGTCAAGATCCATCACAAACTTAGTATTCACTAGTTGTGAAAGTTTTTCAATAACTTGTGGTCTATGATCCTCAGTGGGACAAAGTGATTCACCTGTTTTTGTCAGAAGACCGGTATTGTCTTCATCCTCACTCATTGGCCTGGCAAGATCAGGGTCATGGTCATCCCCATGCATGTACACTTAACCTGTCGTCGTTTTGCTCACTTACGTGTTGCTCATTGTCTGACTCTGAGACCGAATTTGTTGCTTCCTCTGACGCATGGATATAGCTGTTGCTTCCTCTGAAGCATTTGTAGTTGCTGTCTCTGCAGCTTTACAGTTGTAAGCCTACTTGAGGTTGTGTATCATTCGAGTCATATTTTTGACGTTTGCTCGAGCTGGCCGAAGCCGTTGGTGTTGGCTCGTTTTTCGCCCTGGCGTTCGGCCACTAAAATGGACAATAATGCTGTTTGTGTAGACATAGTCGTCTGTAAAGACAACAAAAACTCATGAAAATCTGCCTTGTCATGCTCAGGGTCTTTGTTTGTTCAGACATATTTAAGTCGTCATGCAGACTCGTCATAATCAAGACGATTTTCAAGGTCATTTCGGTCATCCGAATGAGCCGCCATGTTTCCTAAATAAACAGCATAAAAAATAATCAAACCATGCAAAATACAAGACAAAATTGTGATACTTAGCTGAAAAACTGCAACAGAAATAGATATTTATTGAGAAGATACATTACCAACGGTTAGAAATAACAAAAAACTTAAGGTTACAGGATACCCTTTTTGGCGTTTTGCGGAAAATCGCTCCTGCGCTCAAAATCAGTCCGATTTTCATCAAATTTTCACCAAATGTTAGCCAGTGCATGCAAAATATGATAAAGTTGTAAAATTGATAAATAATAAAATAATGTAAGCATTATTCAGGAAAATGTTAAGTCGCGGTACCTTTACGCTTTTGAGTTATGTTCCTGCTGGTTTTAAGATATATTTATGAAAATATCACTTTTATACAGTAAAATAGTTCTAAAAAATTGTGTTGGAAATTTTTGTTTATTTCGTCATTCCGCTGATATGGCGATTTCTTTGACGACTGCAATTTATTTCTGAATCGTTTGTGTGAATTGCTCCTTATTATTAAAATATCCAAAATTAGAAAGCCGAACACCATTTTGAAACTGACGTCTTTAGCTATGTCCTGTGAAAATTTGAGAAAAATTCGTTAAAACCCGCAGGAGCACAACTCGTTTAAAAATCAGTAATTGCCGTAAAATTCTTCGGGAGAAAATTGAATTTGAATATTACATTTTCAATGTTTTTCTGATTGCAAGCGAAATGTATTTTATTAAATAACTCGCTAGTTTTCAACATTTTTCGTCCAAACTTGGTCAGATAGTAGAACTAGTCTAATGCTTTCATGGAAACCAATAAAAAAATTTTAGGCAATATTAACACTCAAAGGTGTTCTGTAACCTTAAACACGAGGCTGCCTGTTTTTTTTGCGCGAACTGCACAAGTGGTTTTGCGCATGCGCTGCACTCTCTCTCGTACAACTCCGGAACGACGGCCGAGTTCGGATAAAGCTACGTTTACACGCTGCGATTTGTCGGGCCGATTTTGGTAAATTATCGATGCCCCTTATTCGACATTTAGCGATTTAAACGTTCAATTGAAGCTGTCCGCTCTCTCGTCTGTTCATATTATAGTTTTCTGCGTGCGAAAAGTTTTCAACAACTTTAAAACGGAAGAAAAATCGTTGAATCGTGAGAAAAATCTGTGTTAGTGTTACAGATTTTTCTCCCGATTTTGTGAATCGCAAGGTGCTGACGCGAGTACTCACGACAGATTATTTACATACAGCAAGCAAAATCGGCCCGACAAATCGCAGCGTGTAAACGTACCTTAACGAAGTAGAATTGAACCAGTTAATTTAACTTAACTTGATCCATGCCCTTTCGAATAGAATCCGACAATGATCGGTATGGCCGCGAATTCCGTGGAATTACCGAATCCATCATATTGATTTTCATTAAGCAGTTTTCAACGACAAGTTCGTTGCTGTAGGGTCCTCCTTACCCAATCTAAACTGGCTCCCCCTTCCCACAAATGACATTCCTGATGATTTCTGCATCTCTGTCGAGGAGACTGAAAAGGCCCTATTATCATCGAAACTTCATTCATCTGCTGGTCCCGATGAAATTCCTTCTTGGCTCCTCGGGAAAACGCTTCAGTGTTGTGTCGACCTTTGTGTTCTATTTTTAATTCATCAGTTCGTGAAGGATTTGTTCCCTCAGTATGGAAGGCAGCAAATATTACACCAGTTCATAAATCTTCGCCTCCTAAAGATGTTGATTCTGACTTCAGACCAATTTCCCTCACACCAATTATCAGCAAGATTCTTGAATCCTTTCCTTACAAATGGCTACTTGACTCCGTCTCAAAAAAAATTGATTCCTTGCAATTTGGTTCGCTGAAGGGTTCAAGCACTAGTATGGCATTAATCTACATGCTACATAAATGGTTTGAAGCAGCTGACAAACAAGGTAACACTATACGGATTTGTTTACTTGATTTTTCCAAGGCGTTTGATAGATTAGAAAAATTGAAAGACATGGAAATTCATCCCGTGTTACTCAACTGGATCGCAAACTTCCTAACAGACAGACAACAAAGAACCCGTGTTGGTCAGTTCTTTTCTGAGTGGAAGTTTTTAAACGCCGGCGTCCCACAAGGAACGAAGCTTGGCCCGCTATTATTTTTGATCATGATAAATGACTTGGCTGTAGCGGATGAAACTGTTAAATTTGTCGATGATACTAGCCTTTGGGAAATAATATCAAACAATTCCCCTTCCCAGTTACCCGCTAACATCATCAGCTGCTCTGAATGGTCATCAAACAATAATATGAAGTTAAACGTATAAAAACCAAAGAATTGCGTGTCTGCTTTTCTAAGCTTACTCCATCGTTTGCCCCTATTACCATTCGCAGTCAAGAGGTCGACGTCGTTTCCGAGGCCAAACTATTGGGCGTTGTCCTTTCGGACGACCTCAAATGGAACTGCCATATTGACTACATTTGCAAGAAAGCCTCGAAGCGTTTGTACGGTCTGCGCCTTCTTAAAAGAAATGCTTTACCTTCTCATATTCTGATCTCAACCTATTGTACACATATTCGACCAATTGTCGAATATGCTTGTCAGGTGTGGCATTATGGTCTTCCTCATTACCTGAGTGATCAAGTTGAAAAAATACAAAAAAGGGCATTAAAAATTATTTTCCCTGGAACTATCTATGCTGAATGTTTGCTTAAAGCTAACTTGATGACTCTTTACGAACGTAGAACTGTTCTTTGCAAGCGACTTTTTTCGAAGATGTTGGAACCCACTCATAAACTGAATGCCTTAGTACCGCCTAAAAGTCTTCAAACTTATAATCTGAGGTCTTATCCCAACTTATTAGTACCTAGGTGTAGAACTGAACGTTGTTCGAACAGTTTCATTCCTGCTGCGTCTCGTGCTTATAATAATAAGTAAACTTTAGATTATTATCGTTATTTTTATCTAACTTACCTATTTTTACCTGTAAATATAGAATAGATTGAATACCTATGTTCTTATACCCTGTAATTCCAAAGTAATTCAGTTGTTACTGCTAGTTTGGAAATTTATAATAATAATAATGTTCAGTAAAATACCGGTATACACTTGGTAGTGAACAGCTTTTTTCTAGAAGTTTAGAGGCCACAGGAAGAAAGGAAATTGCAGGTCGATATCCGTATTGGCTATCCGTATTGGCTGAGTTTTCCTTTTTAGCGTCTACTGGAACAGTAGTGCTGGTAGAACCATATGCTGTCGACAAGAGGACGCTGACAGAAGCGGCACGGGACGCTGAAGCGGCATGGGACCATTGGTATTGGTCTTGGACAAAAATAGTTTAGAAGTTACCTTTGGCGAAGAATTAAATCGCAC